CCATACTCAAAATGGTTTATCAGAAACATTGATCAAGCGGCTTCAGTTAATAGCCCGTATTCTGCTTATGAATACAAAATTCCCAGTTTCTGCATGGGGACATGCCATCTAACATACTGCATCATTGGTTCGATTGAGACCTATAACCAACCACCAATACTCATTAATACAACTCATGTTTGGGCATCAACCAAACATTTCACATTTACGAGTTTTTGGTTGTACTGTTTATGTACCTATTGCACCACCACAACGCACTAAAATAGGACCCCATCGCCGACTGGGAATTTACGTGGATTTTGATTCACCATCTATCATTAGATATTTGGAACCTTTGACAGGTAATATATTTACAACTCGTTTTGCTGATTGTCAGTTTAATGAGACAGTCTTCCCGTCGTTAGGGGGAGAAAAGACCATTCCAGAAGAACGGAAATAGCTGACATGGGTTGTTCCCACCTTATCTCATTTTGATCCACGTAGCACTCAATGTGAAAATAAAGTGAAAATGATCGTTCATCTTCAAAGTATTATTAATCAAATGCCAGATGCATTTAATGATGCTATGAAAGTGACAAAATCACATATACCAGCTGCAAATGCACCTGCAAGAATTGATGTCTCTGTTGGACAAAATAAAGTGGCAGCGAATGATTCATCTGGTGCACGCTTGAAGCGTGGTAGACCTCCAGATTCAAAAGATTCAGTTCCTCAAAAAAGAAAGTCGAGGGCACAACTGAATCTAAATGAAATCATTCAAGAAGGAAAAATGCATGACATATCCACAATTCATAATTCTGTACTTTTAGAAAAAGAAAATATCCTTGATGAGACATATGTTGGAAATGTGCCCTAAAACCAATCATATGATGATACTTTACGGACATTTCAAACTAATGTAGTTTAAATGTAAAGGGCAAAGATTATTGTTTGAGCCGTCTCATATAAATGTTATATGCTTAAACGATAAGTCCAAGGAATATGTGATTGGAAGAATGCGATCTAAAGAAGTTAGATTCATGAGACAATTCTTTCGTTGACACATCCTAAACGTTCCTGATCATAGGATTGTCAATTGGGCATTGACAGTCCGTTAAGATCAGTACGTGCTATGTCTTCTCTCAGGGAGAGTGACTAGTCTCGAGTCATTGGTGTGTGTGACATCAAGACAAGTACGTAGGTGCTCAATAGAGAATGAGTTCACTGAACACGATCAACGGAGAGTTCTCATATTCATGTCACATGAGAACTCATGGTTGGGATAATGCAAATTAGTCTTTTGACCTGAGGCATCACAGTTGTCTTGTGGTTAGGTCCTTAATCTTTGATTATGTCAAAATCACTCCATCAAGAGGGTGTCCACGGCATCGTTGGGGTTAAGCCACTTAGCCATGGAGGCAAGTGAATGCGCAACAAGGGATCTATAACCTTCAAACTGTTTGAGGGAGAATACTCTATGATATGATTAAGAATCTTTGGCCAAAGTATGAATGAAATTTAGGAATGTGTTCCAAATCACATTCAAGGTAATCATATAAGCACAAGACTCACATTGGATAGTAGACATGAACAAACTATCAAACCAAACAATGTGGTCAAGAGTATTGTATTAGAGAAAGACCGTATTGCATTTGTAATTCTAAAACTGAATAGGTTCTCCACCTCTTCTAATTAGCTTGGGTAACCATGACATGCTGCTAGGCGTCAACCATGATTTGTGGAAGCCCTAAAAGTGTATTATCACTAACGGGAGAATTGAAAGTAAGTTTCAATTCACAATCGATTAGAAAGAGTTTTAATCGCCCACTGCCTCGCTAAAAGGAACCTAATGGATCGTTCACCGAGTAAGGTAGAGCTTGAAGAAACAACGGAGATGAGTAAGAATAATTAAATGGTTTAATTATTTATCTAAGGCTAGGATTAATTAATATGTTAATTAATCAAACGAATAAGTTCGTTAAAGACCTCGGGTTAGTTTTGGGCCGTAAGGCCCAATGGGATTTGAATGTCAAGCCCATTAACTCAAGTTGTATGACAACTTGAATAAAAAGAGGGCTTGAAAGCCCAATAAACCTATAGGCCGGCCATGTTAGAAGAATAGGGCTTTTGGTCCATTAGGTCACTTATTTGAAGGGACTATATAAAGGACTTTATAGCCTAAAATTCATTAAGGGTTGTTTTTGGGGAAAGGATGAGAACACAAGCTCTCCTTTCTCTCTAAAATTTCGGCCACCTTGGAGGAATTATCTAGCAATCAAACTCCTCCAAGGTCACTCATTTCTTCTTCATTATGCCTTGGTGATGAATCATTAGAGGTTCTCAATTTTGGAAACTTTGGAGAAACCTTTTCATCCATCCAAATCCATGGATCTAAGATGCAAGCAATGAAGGCCCTCTCTTTGGGTGATTAGCCTTTGCTTATGCAAAGAGGAATCTACAAAGGTATTAAGTTTCAACTCACTTTGTTTTTGAGTTGTGTATTGATTCATCTATCTACTAGGCTTTGAAGTTCATGGGTTAAGTTTTGTTTTTGAGTGCATATAAACATGATTCCGCCTTTTAATTGTTAATTGCATGTTGTTGATGTTGCTCAAATGAACTTGTTTTTCACAAATCTTCCTTCAACATATGTACTTGAAGAAACAGAGATACATGAAAGCAAAGAAATCTCCATAAATTATGCTTGTACTAATGAATTATGCTTGTATTAATGAATTGTGGGATCGAAATGAAATAATCATCGACGACATGTTCGCATTCGCAGTAGCCACTTAAATCATATTAAGTGATGATCTTGAGCCCCGCTCTGTTGATGAATGCAAACAGAGACAAGATTGATCTAAGTGGAAAGATGCAATCTAGGTAGAATTAAATTCTTTGGAAATGCGAAATATTTTTGGACCAGTAGTCCAAACACCGCCTAGTGTAAACCCCGTGAGTTACAAATGTGTATTCATAGGGAAACGTAATGAGAAAAACGAGATTGCAAGATATAAAGCACCACTCGTTGCACAAGGTTTTTCTCAAAGACCTGAAATTGATTATGATGAGACATACTTCCCTGTAGTGGACGTAATTACGTTCCATTACCTAATAAGTTTAGTGGTTTCAGAAAAACTTGACATGCGACTTATGGATGTCATCACCGCATATCTATATAGAGAATTAGATGCTGACATATATATGAAAGTTCAGAAGGACTTAAGTTGCCTGAAACAACTAACAAAACCCGATGTATGCTCTTAATCAAATTAAGGCGATCATTGTATGGGCTGAAACAATCTGGACTAATGTGGTATAATAGTCTTAGTGAGAATTTGATTGAAAAATGATATATCAACAATGTCATTTGCCCTTGTGTGTTCATTAAGAAATCTAACTCTGGATTTGCTATAGTGGCAGTATATGTCGATGATATGAATCTAGTTGGAACCCCTGAAGAGCTTAATAAAACTGCTGAATATCTGAAAAACGAATTTGAAATGAAAGACCTTGGAAAAACAAAATTTTGTTTCGGCCTGCAAATCAAGCATTGTTCTAGTGAAATTTTGGTCCACCAATCAGCTTGCATTGAAAAAATCCTGAAGCGATTTAGCATAGACAACACGCCAATGCTTGTTCGTTCTTTGAACATTAAGAAAGATCCATTCTGTCTAAAAGAAGATGATGAACTGGTCCTTGGTCCAGAAGTACCATATTTGAATGCAATAGGTGTTTTATTATATTTAGCATAATGTACTAGACCAAATATAGCTTTTTCAGTCAACTTGTTAGTAAGGTCTGGCTCTGCTCCAACAATTCGTCATTGGAAGGGAGTCAAAGATGTATTGCGATACCTTCGTGGGACAACAGATATGGGTCTCTTCTACCCAAAGAAATCCACCAATGATCAGATCCTTGTTGGATATGTAGATACTGGTTTTCTCTCTGATCCGCATAAAGCCTGCTCACAAACTGGATATGTGTTCAAGAATGGAGATACAACAATCTCATGGCGCTCAACAAAGAAAACATTAGTTACTACATCTTCAAATCATTTAGAAATACTTGCTTTACATGAAGTAAGTTGTGAATGTTCTTTGTTAAGATCAATGATTCATCATATTCGGAATTCATGTGGTCTACCTTCAAAGGCAGACACTCCAACTGTCATTCATGAAGATAATGCAGCTTGTGTTGCCCAAATGAAGGAATGATTCATTAAGGGTGATAAGACTAAACACTTCTCCTAAGTTTTTTAGTGCACATTAGCTTCAGAAGGCTAAAGGTGTTGAAGTCAGACACATCCGTTCCAATGAAAATATGGCAGACTTGTTCACCAAATCTCTACCAAAATGCACGTTTCAGAAGATAGTGCAAAATATCGGATTACGTCGTTTTACCAATCAGATAAATTTAGAGAATGCGGAATCAAGGGGAGCATTCATGATACATGCATGTTGTACCCTTTTTTCCTTCGATTTGGATTTTTCTCATTGAGTTTTTTCTATCAAGGTTTAACGAGGCAACATAAGTATAACAATCCAAGTAAAGTTGTACTCATTTTCCTTCGTTATGGTTTTTTCCCACCAGGTTTTTCCAAGTAAGGTTTTAATGAGGCAACTGATGTTGATATGTGGACACCGAACATAGAGTGTTGAAAATGCTAGTGGGTAATGAATGCCCACAGTAACATTGAAATCCTTGGCAGATGAATGAAAACCTTGGCAGATTAATGTGGACTTGGAAATGAAGGAGATCATTTGTCAAAAGGTGTTGTAAATTTTCAACATGTAATAATACGGAGTTGCTCTATAAATAAAGCACTCTGACTGCTTTCAATATACATAAAGAAAATAAAGAAACGAAAAATAAATAACATCAGTATCTATTGCTTCCACTTTTATTAGTTATTCTCTTATGTTACAACTATAGTATGATATTTTACGCCTAATTCATTACTGAATTGTTATCTTTTTTTTAACTTTTACCTATTTATAATTTTTGTAGTTCGCACAGGCTGAGGTTGTAGTTTGCTGCTACTTTGAAACCGCTCACACGCTCAAAAGATTAAAAACCAAAGCTTTTCAAATCTCTGCAATTGATCGAAGGGAAAGGTGGTTTGGTAGGAGAAGATGAGCGTCATCGAAATCTTGACAAGAGTAGATGCGATCTGCCAAAAGTACGACCAATACGACGTCGAAAAGCAGAAGGATCTCAATGTCTCCGGCGACGACGCCTTTGCTCGCCTCTACGCCTCCGTCGAATCCGACATTGAAGCCGCCCTCCAGGTCCTCCCCTCTCTATCTTTCACACACACACACACACGCTCACACTCACAAACTACGATTTCACTCAATTCGATCTCTGTTTGGTTTCCGAGAAAACTCGGGAAAATTTAAGAAGCTAGTTGCTGATCCGGACGAAATTCCCGAGAATTTGAGGGTGAAGTTAGGTTTTTTCTTCCTTTGGTGTGTTGAACTGAGTTGGAGTATTTTTTTTTTTTTTTTTTATCTGCAGAAAGCGGAGACTGCTTCGAAAGAGAAAAATAGGGCATCTGCTGTTGCACTGAATGCTGAGATTCGTAGGATCAAGGCTCGATTACTCGAGGAGGTTCCCAAATTGCAGAGATTGGCTCTAAAGAAGGTCAGCATTTCACTGCTTTAATGAAATTTGTTAATTTTCGTAATTTGGAATTGTGCATTTCATAATTTTTGTATTTAGAGGGGCACATTCAAGTCAGAATTGACAATTGGAATATGATTGTGCTCGTTTATGCGGATTTTAGTACTTGTTTAGTGAGATGAGCTCAAAAAATATGTGGGATGCCTCTGTGTTTGTGTGTAGTAGAATTGCCAATTTTGACTGTCTATTATACAAAGAATGATTACTTTGCGGGTTGGGTGATGTTTTTCATAATTGATTCTATTGTTTGCAGGTTAAAGGGCTTTCATCCCAAGATTTTGCTGCTCGTAATGATTTGGTCCTTGCATTGCCAGATAGGATCCAGGACATCCCAGATGGGACTCCAGCTGCACCCAAACAAACTGGAGGTGGTTGGGCAGCTTCAGCTTCTCGTACGGAAATCAAATTCGATTCTGGTAATTTCTTACATTTTATTAAGATTGTTGGGTGCCTTTTTAATAATTATAGTCTGTGGGCAACTGAATTCTATTTATTATTTTGGGTAAACTTTACTTATATGTTTCATGTATTAATAGAGGGACGGTTTGATAATGAATTCTTCCAACAGTCTGAGTCGTCGAGTAATTTCAGGCAAGAGTATGAAATGCGGAAAATGAAGCAGGCAAGTCATATTTATAGAGTTGCTTTTGTTTACACTGGAGATTTCTTTTTGAAAAATGTAAATTGCATGCTTGCTAGTTAGATACTGTGAGTTATGGATGTGGGTTTGTATTATGTATTTTGACATCACAGGATCAAGGTTTGGATGTGATATCAGATGGTTTGGATACCTTGAAAAATATGGCTCAGGATATGAACGAGGTTAGATGTTTTTGCATGGTTCTACGTGCTGATTTGCAATATATATATATATACATGTCAAATGACTTTATCATGTGCTATGCATAGGAATTCGATAGGCAAGTTCCTTTGATGGATGAGATTGACTCTAAGGTGAGAAAGATTTCCCTCTTCTAGTACTGCTTCCAAGATGTTCAGTTGAATTCTCATAATGAATTATTAAATGTTGCTTCCCTTTTAACAGGTGGACAAGGCATCTGCGGACCTTAAGAATACCAATGTTAGACTGAAGGACACAGTCAACCAGGTGAGTGTAATTGCGGCTTTTTGTTTATGATTGCATATTCAAGATTTTTCTTTTGTTTCTTTGTTAGTAGAATTAATGACAGTTTTGTTTTTGTTACAGCTGAGGTCCAGCCGAAATTTCTGTATTGATATTGTATTGCTGTGTATAATTTTGGGCATCGCTGGGTATTTGTACAAGTAAGCTCATATCCATTTACATTAACCTACGTGTTGAGATAGATAAACGCCTAGACACATTTCCATGTAATTTGGTCGTACATATGTGAAGTTTTGAGAAGTTGGGCTAGTAGCCTAGTTCTAAGAAGGTTAAAGAGATAACTTGATGTCGCTACTCTGTTCATACTATGATTTTACATAATTAGACTCTACAGCTACTTGAACCATTAAACGTGAACTTTTAATTTCACCCAATTATTTGTTTAAGGCAGTAGAATTGAACTTGATCATTCAAACGCCTGCATTCTTGTGTCAAGATGTGTTGCTTTTGTATTCTGATCGGATATATTCCTTTGCAGTGTACTGAAGAAGTGAGGGAGGTGGTATAAAGGGTGGTTTGATCAGTTCGAGAGTATTATCGGCTTGTCGGTTATCGTTTTGCATTTTGAGGCTCACTTTGGTACTTGATGCATGTTATTTGATTGTTCATTTCATGTTCAAGAGTGCCTATCATACTACCATGAATGTATTTCTTTTGTACTTGTCCAGTTCATCATCAGTCTTGTCTGTATTAGTATACTTAATGTGAAGTTGATTGTGTCCTCTAATTTCCGTTTATTGCTAATCTACGAGGCTGTGTTTGAATTCATCAAATTGTTAGAAACTTTGTTGACCAACTGTATTGACTACTTCCCTTCGATCTTATACGAATCTTCTCATGGAATTGGGTTGTTCATCCTGGGCCTGACTGAGTTTTTATCTTCCCATACCTTGTTTGCTAAAGATGTAGATAATTAGTCGTAATTGTTACGTTTGTAATGTAAGAAATCTAGCGATCAAAATGCTGATTGCAGCAAGCTATTTCGAGTGGCCAATGTCTAAGTAACAACAATACCAGATTCTGGTACTTGTATGACTAACGACAAGACCTGCCGGTCAATTCCAGTTTCAGTCTTGCGACCACACTCTCCATGTTTCACACGTTAGTGGTGCCTCCTGTTAAGTCTCCATCCAAGTCCATGGCTAGTGGAATGTTGTTAGACATGTTTCTCGGTATGGATACAACATCGGGGCATTAGGATTGAAACTTAGGTCGTTTTCAACTGAAATGGCTAAATATAACTCTGTTCAAAATTATAGCCCTACAAAAAAATTATTTTTAAATAAACAGTGTTAGGATATAGTCATATGCCATCTCCGACCAAATGGGCTAAATATAACTCCCTCAATAATTTATTAGTTAAGTTTATACTATAAATTTAATAGTTACTTTAATTCAACCACCGTTGAATGTTTTCAAATGTAGCTGTTGAATTTGAATCAATTATTGTAACTGAGGAGCTGGGTCCTGAAAAAAAAGGCTCATGGGGGGCTACATTTCACTAGCCTGATGCTCCTTTAGTCAAATAATGACCTTGTAGGTTCCATAGAATTATGGCATAGCCATCTGTTAGAGATGAGTTTTTGGGCAAATCAAGTCATTTTTTGGCTTTTGAACCTTTAGCTCTCTCCATTGGAGATGATCTGACAATACAAAAGTTTAGAGCATACTGGAAGCAGGACACCCAATCTATGACTTTATGAAACCAAAACTAGGATACTATGTGCCACAAATTGAACTATACACACTAATTTACATAAAAATCACCATCACAGAGTCCCGATTGCACCCAATTGCATGTAAGTTTTTCTCGTCAGTTTGGGATCTTGAATTGAAGTAGCTAATTACAACCCGCAACATCAACTCATTTACGTGCTTTACTCGTCCCTATGTATGAGAAATTGAACCATACACACTACATAAAAATCACATTACAGAGTCTTGGTTACATGTAACTTTCGCTCGTCCTAGAGATCAACCTATTACAACCCGCAACACCAAACTCATTTACATACTTAATTCATCCCAATGTATGACAAAGTGAACTACACACTAATTTACATAAAATCAACTACACAATCCTGGTTGCATGTAAATTTCCCTTGTCTTGGAGATCAACGACTGTTTGGGATCTTGAAATGACGTAGGTAATTACAACACGCAACACTGAACTCATTTACATGCTTTATTCATCACACTAATTAGTTTGCATAAAAATCACTACCACAGAGTTTTGGCTGCATTTAGACTTCTCACATTTTGGAGATCAACCTCTATTTGGGATCCTAAAATGATGTAGCTAATTACAACCCACAACATCATACTCATTTACATGTTTGTATGACAAATTGAACTTTGGACACTAATTTACATAAAATCACCATCACAGTCCCGATTGCAATCACTATCACGAAGTCCCGGTAGCTTTTTCTCCATCTTGGAGATCAACCTCTGTTTGGGATCTTGAAGTGTAGCTAACTACAATCTGCAACACCAAACTCATTTACATCCTTTATTCGTTCCTATGTATGACAAATCAAACTATACACACTAATTTACATAAAAACCACCATCACTCCAGTTGCATGTTAGTTTCACTTGTCATGGAGATCAACGTCTATTTGGGATCTTGAAATGATGTAGCTAATTACAACCCTCGACATCAAACTCATTTACATGCTTTATTCATCCCTTATGTATCATAGAGTCTCAGTTGCATATAAATTTCTCTCCTCCTAAAGATCAACCTCAGTTTGGGATCTTGAAATGATGTAGGTAATTACAACGGGCAACACCAAACTTAATTACGTACGTTATTGATCCCTATATATAACAAATTCAACTTTACACACTAATTTACATAAAAATTACGGTCGCAGAGATTGAATGTAAGTTTGCCTTGGCTTAGAGACCTCTGTTGGGATTTCGAATACGTACTTTATCTACCAAATAATAAAATATATATCCACACAAGCACACCTCACACTGCATAGCTAGCTACTCACTTACACTGGAAGCCGATTAATTGACTAAGTTCTTGATACTGGATCTTGGAACTCCATTGATCTACATTGAAATTGTTATTTTCGGCTGATTTAGACTAGTTTATTCCCCAAAAATTCATACCACAACAGTCACGGCCAATCGAGGAATTAACTTCCTCCTTGTATTCTCTGCTACATATCAACTTGCTTGGTGTGAAAAAACTCTTGTACTTAATTCCTTTTGTGAGAATGTGAAGGTAAAAGAGTCACACATTGGTGAATGGAGAAACCTTTGCAAATACTTATAAGAAGTTGAGCTACTCCCCATATTGCCAATTGATTTTATGGTGAAACCTCAATTTCTTCCTGGTATCAAAGCAGGTTGGCCCACATGTGAAGCTCAACGGCTACACATGCTTCATGTCACCCAATTTGTGTTGTCCACGTGTTTGGCTTGAAATTCGCCACACGTGAGTGAGGGGGTGTGTGAGGATGTGAAGGTAAAAGAGTCACATATTGGTGAAAGAATAAACCTTGCAAGGGCTTATATAAGATTGGGCTATTCCCCATATTGCCAATTGGTTTTATGGTGGAACCTCAATTTCTTCACCTTCTGTAGGTTTTCTATTCAAAAGGTTAATAAACTATCAAGGGAAGAAACTAAAAGCGGCTCGTTGGTTTTGTTTGAATTATTCTCGTGAATTGAAGTATTGCAAGTTTTCGTGTTTCCAGTGTTGGAAATATTGGCGATGTGGATGCTACTTCTCCTACAACAAATCACATTAGATAAATATTAGTATATGACAACTTTCATTGCCACAATTAATTACATAAAAATGAAAAAAATAAGATAAAATACTTATCTTTGGTAGGTAGAAAACGCTTTTCGTCGATCCTTGATTAGAACAATATTTTAGGTTGTGGCGCGTAATTTCACTATCCTTAAGAGTAGATTTCGCATCTCTAAGACAATGTCTCAGTATAGCAGGTTATGACGCCCTACTCTCCAGGATACAACAATCTATGATCCTTGTAAGCGTACACTCGCAATACTTGGATTGAGTGAACAACTCGATTCTTCCATTGGTATGAATACAGGAAATAAATATAACACTTGAAGAACGATGGATTAAGAGAGAGCTGAGTTTTAAAAATCGATATCAAAAAAAGGGGTAGTCAAGAAAAAAAATAATAGCGATACATATAAGCAATTGTTATTCTTATTGTTTTCCATGTATCTCACGGATTGAAGAGTGTTTATAAAGGACCTGAAAAAGGTACAAAATGACGATTGATGGACGATATAAAAAACGTTAGTCTCTGTAATAGCCCAATTAATGGGTTAATCAAGATGAAATATTCAAAGTGAAAAATGTAATTCATAGAGTATTATTGCACAATCAAATGCCAACATTATGAACCCTTTTAATGCGTCAGTTTTGGTTTGCAAAATAAAACTGGAATTAAGACTAAAAGAAATCATTAAGAAAGATATTAATATGATCAATGAGTTGTATTTTGAAATACCCAATAAAAATTTCAACAATCCCCCATGACATGCCCTGATCCTGATGTTCGGGGGACTGCGGGATGGCCACGTGATGGCTGACACCCGAGGGTGACGCAAGCCATGTAATGAATGCATATGCCGAGAACATGTGAAACATGCATATAAATTTTGCACGAACTACACAATATAATATTCAAATACAAACCTTACGAAAATAATATAATAATATTCAACTGTCAATAAAATGATAGTGATAATGCATGACATGTTCAGAGGATACATCTAATTTAGAATACAAGGGGAAGGTGTGACAGAAAGTGCTATTACAAGTGATGTCAAAAGCAGAGAGGATGACACGATATCACTAGTAGGGGAATGCCTCGTAGCTCGGATCGTATGCCTCGTTCCTATGTCCTGAGGGGGCACAAAATAAACATAAGTGGACCAAGTTGATATATAAATAGTACTAACATAATTATTCAACAACGTACTAACCCCCAATGCTTAGGAAAACTTGTATAGCATAATAAGTAGTAGGCTTTCCAAAAACCCTAGCATGTCATAAAACCTTTCAAAAACATATATCATATATAATGTGCCAAATAATGGTATCAGTATCGCCCAAAGGCATATAGAACTCTTCCTTCGCCTGAAGGCATATAGAACACTTCATTTGCCTAAAGGCCTTCATTCACCTGTAGGCTCCTACAGCACCTACCTGAAGGCATATATACATATCAATCGCTCGTAGGCTCTTACAGCATCCACCCGAAGGCATATAATGACCACTAGATAAACACAAAAACATTGAATATAACTTTCCAACATAAGTACATATAACTCAATGGAGCTCACTAGCTCAAACATCATATCTCAAAACATCTTCATAGTATATAGTCATCCATCATATATATTACAAAGAACATGAAATCGATAAAGCATGGTATTCCAAAATATTCTCAGTAAAGTATGGTATCTCATAAAAAGTAAAATCTAATTTACTCATAAAACGTAACCATTAAATCATGCTTTTCGTGTATGCATTTCTAATAGTAAAATATGCACTTTAGAAATACTTCGTCATCAAAGAGCCGTGCAAAATATGAGGGGCTAAAACGCCGCTAATACTTGCACCTAAGCACATAAAGGGTCCAATTAATAAAACTCTACCATAATGATTGAATCAAAAAATGGATGTCATAAACAAATTCAGGATGTTGAAAAACATAAGGGGGACCTCGGGTACCCCTACACGCCGTCGTACGCACTGAGATGGGTCGTCGGAAAGTTGGTCGGAAAAGTCGTCGGCGCCGCCATAGATCGCGGCGGAGCACAGTACCTCCAGTGGTGGCGCGTGTGTT